GAGATGGCACAGTATCTCCTAGTGAACATCATCAGGTCTGACTAATGTACTGTTAGACCAATGAAGAGCAAGCTTAAGTTCCACAAGCGTAAATGGGCGATTGTAATAATATAGATTGTCTACTCGAAAGGAAAGGGGCAATCTCTCGGTCCAAGACTTGATGGCTAAAAAGACAGGGGAAAAACAGAAGTGCTGGAAAGGTAAGAAAAGCTCTCCCAGAGAGTATCGGCAATGTTTGGTACATCAGCAGCTTCCTGGCCATTGGGGAGCAAGATGGAAGGGGGATGGGAAGCATATTTCCCACTGAATCTTGCCCCTGATGACTTTGGAATTGGTGGTAGAAGAAATGCTGTCGTGACCTTAATCCAAGATTCCTTCTGGCTTTGATGTCTGACCTGCCTAGCATGAGTACGGGCCCGATGGAAAGCAATACAGGTGAAAAACGTGGAATACCTGTGAAAGGTATCCCAGAAATGTTTCTGAGCTGGCTGCCGGCAGGCAGGAAACAACACTGGATGAAGATACTGTGGGAAACGTGTCATGGTTTTAGGTACACAACGAACAGCTGATTGAATTATATAATCAGTTATTTCCTCCATTAATAGATGGAAGACTAACAACAACAGAATCTAGTTCCAAGAGAACAGTAAAGGAGAGCCAGTCAACCTGCTCCAACTTCCACTGTGGCACTTGGGTCAGGTGGCATCGACCACTATCGATACCTTTCAAAGTGATGGAAAAATGATCACTGCCCCATGGATCACTGTCAATCCTCCAATAAAAAAAAGAAAAGGTGAAGGGAAACAGACAGACAGAGGAATAGCAGTAAAAGACTAAGTAGGTGCACGGAAATAGGTACAAGAACCAGTACTGAAGAGAGAAAGGTTGTGATATGAGAACATACGCTCCACATAATGACCCCTCCCATCAATATCAGCACCATCCCAGAGAGGATTGTATCCATTAAAGTCTCCCAAGATGAAAAAAGGAGACAGCAACTGTTCTATGAAGGCATCAAGGTCTGATTGATCATAAGTCTCTCCTGGAGAGAGGTAAAGAGAACAAACAGTGATGGTACAATCCATGGTGATATGGATGACAACAGCCTCCAAGGGTGTATCAAGTGGTTACAGACAAGGTGGGTATGTGCTGGTCAACCAGCAGTGCCACACCTCCATGAACTCATCCATCACACACCCATGATTTCGGGTTAAAAAAGAATGGCAAAAAGTGACAGTATCAGCAGGTTTCAGGAATGTTTCCTGTAAGGAGAGACACATACGATTATAAGAATTGATTAAAGCCTTAATGTTATCCAAATGAAAATGAAAACCTCGACAGTTCCAGTGTATCAAGGTGGTCATTTTTATTTAGGTGGAAAAGAACTGGGCGGAGAACTCTTCTGTTTGTGACTACAAAATTTTTCTTTTAAAAAAGGAGGTCTATGGACCTATATGCAACCTGCCCAGAGTCGAATAGGCAGATCTCTGTCGAAAGAAGGAGACTCTAGTGATTGAGATCGTGAACAAATAACGGTTCTGCACCTCGGGGCCAAAAAAGATGGACCCAAGCAGTCACTGGAAGCGATGGTGGAGACAGAGACAGGAGTAGACGTGGTCTTTTCAACTATTGCATCCACAGAGGGCAAAGTATTCTTTACATGATGAGAGAAAGACTCTGTCGGAGGTACAGAAATAGCTGTCTGCACTCACAATGTAGCAGTGGGATGGTGTGCAGCAGCATATGTCCAAGATGGAAAGGGGTACAACAACTTCCGAACCTCTGGATAAGAACTGTTGTTAACAGTACTTAAATGTTATACCTCTTTCTTCTCCACCCACTTAGGGCAAGATCAAAAGTAAGAGGGGTGGGAACCACCACAAATGACACAGTGAGGGTCAAGTTGACACTCGCAGGTGACATGATCTTTGCCACCACAACGAGCACACATCAAAGAACCATGACAAGATGCCTTAGAATGTTCGAACTGCTGCCACTTGAAACACCTGAGACGGTTAGGAATATAAGGCCATACCTTACAGTTCAGATAACCTGCCTTGACAGTGGCAGGCAGACGTGGCGATGTAAACGTCAATACAAGAACATTGGTAAGCAGCAGAAGTCCTTCTTTACGAATGGAGATATGTCGCACAGCAGAAAATCTTGGCTGGATAAACCAATGAGTATCTCTGACTAGGAGATGTTTCTGAAATCCCTCTGAACGATAACTCCTCATGGGGAATTCAAAGTAGCATGGGGAGTAACCTCAACAGGTATATCCCCAATGGTATATTCAGGAGAAGTTCGCTGTGTTTTGATGTAGATGTTTCCACCAAGATGTCCCCAGAACGTAGCTTCTTAATTGACTTAGGAGAGCCAGCAAGCCCCTTTAATTCTTACTGAATGAAAAAAGGAAACATTTGCCCTGAAGTTTGTCAGAAAAAGAATGAAAAATGAAGACATGGGATACGGGTATAAATTGGGGTGGTGACTGCTGTTCAGAGCCTTCCAAACGTGGTTGCTTTCCTATCCAAAAGTTTTTTTATTGCTTTGGGGGGGGGTCACTGGGTGCAAGATACATATAAAATAGAGAAACTTTAGTGCCCGCTGACCCCACCTACCATTGAGTCATACGAGGGGACGCACTACAATGCTAAAGTAGAGCATAGTAACGATGCCGGGGTTTCTTTGATCACTATACCCAAACACCAGCATCAGGCACAATGTCCAGCAACAAGGCCAAAGTGGTGTGTAAAAGTGCCACTGACATAAACTGACCCCCAATGACACCCCTCAACCACCAGGATCTTCTACTCCTCTTCAAGGGATACCACGCACGGCAAACGCGTGGGTGGATGTTCAGATCCCAGAGGAAGTAAACTGAAAATTCAGAATCTACCTCGAGTGGTGTTGAACACGTAAATAGAATTTTAAAGTAATGTATGAAATAGCTAAGTTCACACCATGAAGATTGCTGGAAATCTTTGGGAGGTGGAGGGGCGTTTCTGTTCATGTTACATCTTTCTTGGATATGTGTACATATACATATGTATAAACGTAAAACTGTATGTGCTATGATTAGGAGTCGAACTCATTGATGAATACTTTATGTTGGAATAAATATTCATGCAAACTTTTACAACTATACTGGATACTATATTCTCATTACTTCATTAAAGCTTATGTGTACGTCACAGTTATACATATGTAAATCCCTTTTAAATGATATTTTGCACTTTATTCACTTCCTATCAAAGCAAACTACTTACAAATATTGAAAATAAAAATAAGTTTGGTAATGAGTATAACTAATTATATATATTTTTTACGTTCTTTCTTATAAAGGTTAGAATGTATTGTTTAATCAGTACCCTCGCTGTTAACTATATTTTCGGCCGTAAATCCATTAATAGCTCATGAAGTTTAGCCAGACTAGGAGATTTAGGTTAGTAACAATATATATTGTATTAATGACCATGGTGCACCTAATTTTTACTGTCTTTTAACTGCAAACATTCTCGTAGAATATCACAGAAAATGTTATTTACGAGAACAAATATTCATGGAGTTTTTAAACTTTATTAAACAATTTAATTTATTTATTAAATGGGCAAGACATGGGTACTCTCAGAATGCTGGGCTGCATATCAGAGGTCTAACGTTCGATCCGCGTTATGCTGCTGAACACACCCTGCACTTTTAGTCAATTCTATCATACGATTACAATTAGCCATGTAGGCGACAGATACTGCTGGTTGATTACTCACCCTCTGGTTAGTAGTTATACATTAGGGTTGGCCATGCTGGAATCTTAGGGTTTTTTCACCTGACTTTTTATCCCACATGTCCCAAATGTTTATTATGTACAAGGAAAATTTTGAAACATATTTTAAGTTTTGAAGGTTAAGTTGCCCTTTTAATGTTTTGATGTAGTGTATATATATATATAATTCTCCTCTTATATAATTTTTTGTACACTAAGAACATAAACGTTTGCAGTGTTACATTATGTATTATCAAAACTTTTTTATTCCTTGGCTAACACCAGACCAGATTCTTTTTTTCTTCTTATTTTAATCTCATATATATATACCCGACATAATTCGAATATAAATTATTACTTGAAAATTAGCTTGAGTAAATTTATAAATTTCAGCGGATTTAATGTAGATATAAAAAACACGTTAGAAAACTTTGGTTTCAACAAATAAAGACTCGTACAGGAAACGACAAATGTTTGTTTGTTTGTTATGGATTTCGCGCAAAGCTACACGAGGACTATCTGCGCTATCCGTCCCTAATTTAGCAGTGTTAGACTAGAAGGAAGGAAGCTAGTCATCACCACCCACCACCAACTCTTGGGCTACTCTTTTACCAACGAATAGTGGGATTGACCGTCACATTCTAACGTCTCCACGGCTGAAAGGGCGAGCATGTTTAGTGGGACGGGGATTCGAGCCCGCGATCCATAGATTGCGAGTCGAGCACTCTAACCACCTGGCCATGCCGGGCCCACGACAAAGGTTAATCTAATATCAACCACTTTCAGAAACGTACAGTTCAGTGTTTTCTGTTATAAAACATAATATCTGGTATTTTCCATGTCCTTCCAACATTCACAATTGCAAAAATGTTGAAGGAGCCTTATAAAGCATACTTAAAAACTTTGAAAGGTAGAAGTGAGAGAAGTTTTAAGAAAAGCTTAGAGCAACGACACAAAACAAATATTTTCTACGTGATAACTTCTGAAAATACACCGAAATGGTTAAGATCTCTGTAAAAAAAAATAATAATAATAACTATGTAGTCAACATTTTGCCTAAAAGGCCCCCATCAACTGCAGTTATAAAATTTTATGCAGGTGATGGTCGTTTGACCGGATCATTGACCACGTAATTTTTTGCTTTTAGTTCGTTATTTTACCTCCAAACAAGTTTTTCATACCCGATGTGAAAAGCAATAAATGACGGTTTTCCTTTGTTTTCGAAACATCGACATACCATCTTTCTTGTAATAGACAATCTCCACTTGTCGTTCCTCGCTCTCTTCCAGGCACTCGGCTATCTTAGCCACAGCATGAGGACTGGTCTGAGGACCATGCAGGAACTCGCACATGCACGATTGTTGAACAATCTCTCCGCGTGAGTAACCCAGGAGCTCTGTAAAGCCATCATTACAGTATATAATTGGTTTGTTTTCCACCTGAGCGTTGGCTACGATGAATCTTCTATCTGTAAGACAAAGAAAGAAAAATGCTGGACATTAACGTGGTTTTACTGATGATTTGATAAAACTGACAAAGGACTGTGCTAAATACACTGACAGCAATGGTGTATAAAGGCATTCAGTATGGAGTTGGAAGATGTTTTTCTGTGAAATTTCAGCTTCGGAAAAGGCAAGACACATTCATCCATCAAGTCCCAATAACTATCTCAGTGAGAACAAAACACACACAAAGAATTGAAGTTCATAAAGTGTTTGAGATGACACATATTACACCGTTTCCTGATTCTCAACAAAGTACACGCGTGAATAGTTAAGTTTAGATAGGAACATAAATTATACACATAGCTTTAGGTTTCAAATTTGTTTCAATGAAATGTTAAGCAGAGATGAATGCGTGGATTCAATCCAGAAGGTTTTAGAATTTTCAGCCGCTACGTTTAATGTATAACAACAACAACAAAAAATCAAAGAGAGAGAAACGAGCAAAGTTATCCACTCCAACATCCAAAATATAATTTAAAAAGGTGGGACTATACGCAAGGTTAAAGTTGTCAGGCGCTCTTTATTTCCTCAAACATTTTACCTTCAGGGTAATCCTAACTTACATTTAAATTTTACTTGATTTTATAGTTTCTTTATTTGGTTTACACAGTGTCAACTTATCGATCAAAGCCTCTATAAAACTTTGATAACTGATTTTTAAATTGTCTTTACTGCAAAGTTTTCGTTATAGAAAAAAGTAAAAAGAGCATAGAATTTTATTTTTCTAACTACAAACTGAATACCTTGAATATAGCCTCAAAAATTAACACAATCATGTTAATGTCTTGAAATAATGTATGGTCATCCGTTACACATTTATAAAATGTTAAAAACATTACACTAAGCAGCTTTTTCTTTCACCTTCAAAAGTCAACGGATTCTTAAGTAAAATGTTCTATTTCATCAATGATTTACTGAAATCCGTACAGATGGATGACTCGATTGATTCTGTGTGTCTATCATTAAAAGAACAACTTCAGTCAATGATTACAGTTACGAATAAAATACATTCATATAAAGTATTGTAGCACAATTATTAAATGATATGCTAAAAAGGTTTTATGATGCTTTGAGGCGTTGTAATTAAATTTTTTAAAACTTTGTCAAGCATTGTCTCTCCCTCTTTAAATTCACAACTATACAGTGTAGTTTTATTAAGCTTCGAATATTATCGAAAACCGTTCAAGATTAACTTTTATTACAGTAACTACGTAAACAATGTGTGTGTAACTAAATTAAGAAAAAAATCATTTTTGGAACAATTGTTGTTTTTTTTATTTATATAATGCCATATAATATCTATTCAATAAAGGGTTTTATTATCTTATAGTCGTTCGTCTTTTTTTTTTTACTTTTTTTGTGCTTTATTCTACTGAATATGTTTGGACGTTGCTGAACCAGCAGAGTGGGAATAAAACTTGTGTTATAATGTGGCAATTACCACCTTGACTATCATTAAATGCACGTCTAACTGGTACCAACTAGAAACATTGTATCATTAATTGGATCACTCTTAGTTCAAAGACAACATTACCAATAGCTGAAGGATCGGAGGGCAGTGTACAGAAAGCACATCACGAAGTTATAAAAACATATCATACTATATGTAACCCGATGTAACATAAATTTCGGTAAGGGTTGGTCGTCTTACAGCAAAATGCGCCGTTTATTGATTTTCAGGGTATAATTCACAGCACTTACCAATCTATTCTCTATACGTTGATTTATGCTAGACCTCATGAGCGAATCGAAAACAAGTTCTAGTCATATTTCTTAAACAGAAGTGATGCGCATGTTTAGTGTGGTGTTATGTATATTGAAGTGTCTAGTAAAACATGGTGTCATGTTTATTGGGATTTCAAGGCCACACTACGAAGAAAGATCATACACTCCCAAACATTGCTACAAACAGTGTTTGAACATCAAAGCACCACGACAATGAGTATCCGTATACTTATAAGCTACATCTCTTGACCTTATTATTATTTTTTCAAATTATTGGAATTTACCAATATAAAACTTGTCTCTTCTTATTTTGCGTAAGTTACTAGCATAAAGAGCAACGACCTTTTGACTGAAACATGGTTAGTATTCAAACATTTTTGCGAATTTCTTTCAAAACGTTTCAAATATTACTGAAAAAAAAATTGTTGATAAATACGCTGTGTAAGAGTGTTCCCGCGCACTCCTTGAGCTAAATAATGATAATTAAATTAAAAAGATAGAAAAGGAAAAATAACGATACAAACTGGACTTTGTTTAGAAGCCTGGTGCCTTGTGTCCAATCCATAGCCGAATTTATGATTTTCTCAACAAATGCTATCCAAAATCAATACGCATAAAAGCCTCGTGTCCATGCTGCTTATGGAATTGCTTGAATCAATGTGAAACATTAAGCTTTATGTCCCCAGGTGTTTATGTCAACATCAATAAAGTCTTCTGTTCAACCTAAATGTGGTGATTTTCATATACACTCACGAGCTTGCTTGCACTTGGCAGTTGTAATGTGTAATCTAAACTCTTGTACTGGTCAGTTTTACATAGATGTTATGCAGTTTCTGTAATTTGTCCACTCCTCTTTTTTTACAGACTTGTGATTTATCATTAATGACTAGTGCAATCAAAAAGCTGTTTAATCTCAAACTTGCAATACAGAAAGGCCAACAAGAAAAAAATAAGGTTTTTGTATTTTCTTCCTGCGTAACGATGCTTCCTTCTACATTTCCTGCGTTTCAGGTGAAAACTTTTAAAGTTTATTTTGAAGTTTTTGAGTTAAGGTAAGCACGTCTACAAGTTTTTTGACAGTTCCTTGTTGTTAACTGTTGTAATTTGTACTGTAACGTGAAATTGAAACTCACCGTCAACACAAAGCGACTGCAAAAAATAACGAAGATCTTTCCTTGTAAACATCTCGTTATCAACAGAAAGCGACTAAAAATAACTGAGAACACTGGGCATCCGCAGGGGGAGTGTCCCCCTGGAAAATGAGAAACATGATTCTTTCTTTATCCATTCAGCAAATGTATATGAATTTTTTATTCAATTCACAATTTCACATTACTTTGCCCCTTCCCTGGAAAAATTTCTGCGGATGCCCATGCTAAGAACTTTCGTTGTAGACATCTCGAAGACAGCAAAAAGCGACTGCTAAGAATAACTGAAAACCATCTTTGTAAACAGGTTTTTGAGTCCTTTTTAATTCACTATATATTAATTTAGGTGTGTATTAATATTATTTAAACAACAACGAAATAAAAAGGCATTGAAATATTATTTTATTTTATTAACATCTCATAAGAGGAAGATACCTGAAGAGATTTAAAAAATCAACCCAGTAATGTTTATAGCTAATTAAATATATTGTTCTTACGTTCTTACATATAAAGTCTAGAATGCATTACTTCATTAGCTGGATAACCTTATGTTAAATAAACATTGTATATCTTTCCTACTTTTATTAATAGGGAAACTTTTCTAAATTTAGTTAGTTATGTTGGTATGTGTAATTTCTACACAATACTTAGTCAAGAAGGTCGCTAAATGACTTTTGTTTTAGTTACCTACTGTTCTGTATCATTCATCTAGAATAGCGCCTTTTGTCTTTCTTTGGTAAAGATAGCTGTAAATCACCTGTAATGTGTGAAGTTAGACAGTTGTCCTTTCCACTGTCAGTCAGGTGATCTCGTGAAATCATGACATCCATTATGTTACATTGGGAATGACCATCCTGTGATTAGCGCTAGTCTCTCTGGCGAAATCTTACGTTAATGAGTTAAATAAGTACCGTGAGATTTATTCAGTTTGGTAGGAGATCTCAACTAAGTAAGCATGACACAACTCTTAAGAGAGAATCAACTTCAGAGTTAACTCTCCAGTAAAAGCAACTGTTTGTTATAGCAACTAAAGTATGTTTTCAATGTATTTATTATATGTTAATAGAGATTGTTTATTTTGACTGCACATTTGTATTCAGTCTCTCTCTGTATTTCTTATGAGCTCAGTCATAGAATGTAGATATTTTCCCTGTATGGTTGAATATGCCAATGTATTTGTGGGACCATATAGATCCAGGTGGCATACGTCCAATTAAACAACAATAATGCAGACTTCCCTGTAGCACTAGGAATGTAATTAGTGTTGAGATGTAGCAGGTGTTAAAGAATGGGTTTTTATAACCCTGGGAGAATTATGGGTCATCTACAGTAGTGATTGTCAGAAATAAGATAAGTACACCCATGTTTTGTGTTTATTTCAGATTGGCGAATGCCGTGGGCCACGTCGACGCCTTTCTATTGCTTCTAATAGATGAACGTCTGAAGACGTTGGAAGGTTCCCATTGGTTCAGTAGTTTAGATCTGGCAAGTCCAACTCGATGACGATAGCAGATCTAAGATAACTTTTAACACAAAGGGAGGCTTGAATGAATTTTGAATGAAATCATTCGGCATGCGTTATGCGCTCACCACCTTTGAGAGGATAATTGAGCTTACACTAAAGGGGGCTGTAATGGGAGAAATGCCTAGTTTATGTTGATGTGATCTTAATGTTTGGTTGCATGTTTGAATCTGTGCCTGAGAACCTGAAAAAATAGTATTGCAGTAGATAAAAAAGGTAGCTTGAAATAAAACCAGGTAAATGTACACTGAAGTAGAATTTCACAGTCATATTATAGGTAGGAATGGAGTCTCCACAGATCCTACTAATATAGCTGCAACGAAACACTAGGTTCATCCCATGACAATGTAAGAAGTCTGCCGTTTCCTTTGTTTTTTCTTCGCACTTATAAACTTCCCACAGCCTCATCTATGACAAGTGCTACCCAATCAGTTGTGGACTAGTGCTTAAAAGATATTACTAGGAAAAAGCTGCCAAATGGACAGAGGTCTGGAACCTCTATAAATCAGTATGGGAATAGTGAAGAAGACATCCAGAGCCCCTATCCTGGTTAGAGGAGGTGGTGAGT